TTTACATAAATCACTGATGTTACTGATATTGAACAGGGCTTACCAAGGAGGTTAATGAAAAAGTAAAATACTGAAAAGGCAATAAGTGCCTGTGACATCAAGCTTAAATGGGTGTACAATAAATATTACTTTATGTCAGTGTCCCTAAAAACCATTTGGGCTTTATCTCATGGGCCATTCAGGCCCGACATTCAGTCTGTTTTGGCCTAAAAAGTCTAATTTTCAACATTTATTGTTTTAGGTAACTGCTGGTCACCGCTTGCTACTTTTTTATATATATTATTTCAAGCATCTGTATAAAATATCCACTGTACAACATGTTTCTTCCCTTCTCTGCGATACAGAACATTTCAGTCAACAGGACTTATTCATTTTCTCATTAAAGCTTTTTGTTTAAGTAGTAAAAAAAAAGTAAAACCATGTCTCTTAAACCATTACATAAGAAAATTCTCATGAATTAGATCTATTTTAGGTTGTTAATCATAACCTTGATTTTTATGGGGGTTTGCGGCTTTCCTATTTTGCATGAGTCGGGGATAAATAGCCCTTCAAACTGTACAAGTTGTTGACCCTGGTCTCCAAAGACTATCCTCTGTGTGTTTGGTTTTGTGTGTGTGTTTTTATTTGCTCTTGGTTTTTTTTGTATTTTAGTTTGTTTTGTTTTTTAGCCCGGGAAACCTTCACTGAGATTCAATGTCTTTGGTTGCGTGCCCTTACTAATTGTTTGAGTTTCACCTCTGATGACTGATACAGTAAAAATGTTTGCCACCTATGTCTATAAAACCTCAGCTTTAAGAGCTGCTGTGGCTAACAACATGCCTCTGTAGAGTAAGATTATTTTGTGCTCTAGCGTTGCTCCTGCACATTCATTTGACGGTGCAGCATTGTCTCTCCGTGCAAGATAACAGCTCTCTAGACCACTTTATCAGACATCTGGATAGAAATCTTCATTCCTGCTCTACACCAAGCCTCCGCTTTAATTGTGCAACATACTTGGTTGCTTTGCTTTGAAATCAGATGTTCTGCTTCATGAATTGTCCCTACATCCGCTTATAGAAGAATGCAACACAAACACTCAGAAACTCTGGATTTGATACCATTTAAAAAGTATATTTCTTATAATTTGAAATAGACCTGACAGACAGGCAATTGCAAAAACCATAAAATTGTTTTTGAAATATGCAAGAAAAGCTGTGATAGAATGCAGTTACACAACTGTTGTGGTCCTTGTTTACCTTTGGAAGTCTTACGCTAAAATAAACGGAAGTCAGTCCTTTACAAAGTAAACAATGCTAAATAACTGTGATGTGGAGTTACAAAACCAATGCAACACAAAAACAATAGTTAACCACACAGAAATCTTTGCTTCAAACTGGAACACTGATGATGGCTGCAGAGGGAAAGATTTCTGAAACCTCATGTTGAATCTAAAGCAGGAAATTTCAAACCAAGAGCAAATTCTACTTGATATCTATCTACATCTGCAGTAAGAATGAGGATCTAGGAAAAAGATCAAATAAATGGAAGATATGATAACTGCTTGGCTTGATAGCAAAGCTACAAACTGCTAGTAATACAGGTAATAGCTAGTAGACATCTAGTTTTCTGAATTGGTTACATTCAAATAATAAAGCAGGCGTTTTAACAGTAGTTTTTAAGTAGCTTTTAAATGTGTAATCAACATGTTATTACAGCTATCACTCTGTTTTAAACAACGCTTTGAAGACAGGGTTGGTAGGGAAATGTTCAAACTTCCCCTTAATGAGATTTTAATGGCTCCTGCACTCTATTTTCCAACTTAAAACTCATTCTGCAAAGGTGAATACAGAAATATTCCACATCCTTCAATTGAACTTGCAGTGCCAGTGGACAGTTTTTTTTTTCTCTCCGTTTATGTCATAATTAAATATCAATGCTCAGGTCTTAAGCCCTTCCATATTATTATTCCAAATCCTTGGAAGCCTTAAAATTTCCTAAGATGTTAAAAGTTTGAAAAGTTTTTGAACCAGCAATGCTACCTCAGAGAATAGTCAGGGAATAAATCTACTGTATAGAAATATGTGTTTGTCATTTAACATGCGGTGTGCGTGACACAAGCCAAAGGCCTGTTCTAAATGTTGATGGGGGCAGTGCTGATGTGCCAGCATAGACTTCAAAGAAAACAAAGTAACTATTGATAATGTCTTCACTTTGCAATGCAAGACGCCCATTCTTAAAACGTAGCTTCTAATCTTGGAGGTTGTATCTCTGTCTTTAATCTGCGTTGCCGTCCTCCACCTCATGCTTTAAACCCTGCAGACGTTGTCACAGTTTTACAGGAACTAGGCTGTCTAGTAGGGCTTTATTCTTAATGTGGACTAGGTTGGACAGCTCCGATGGTTTGCTCCCTTGAAAAAGAATCAGGATGGCAGTATTAGTTCTCCAAAGCATCTCTTCTTAGAAGATCAGAGTGTATTTGGAAAAGGTTATAATTTCCTTTATTAAAGCCGGTCTTTAGGTCTCTCACCCGTCAGCTTCATATTTGATCGAGTGCTCCCGCTTATGTTTGTAATCCTGCTGGGTGCGCAGGGTGAGGCGACTGAGCCTTCCCTTAGGCTGATTTACTGCAGAACACACCACGCTCCTTTTATGGAAGGCTTTTATAAGGCCCTAAATATCCTTTGTATTATGTGCTCATGGATTTCTTTAAATTATGGCAAGGGTTGTCAGGAAGGGTGGTAAATGACATGTAGTGTGTACAGCAAATATTTAATGATGTTTTTTATGAGACATGACCAGAGCCGTACAGCTAAATTACCAACAAGAGGTCTCCATATGTAACAATCTGCAGTAAAAAATTGAATAAATGGGTTTAGAGTTGAATTTTTAGATATCAAAATCAGTCATTTTTATTTATTTCAACTCTGATTTTAAAATGTAGTTTTTATTAATCAGAAATGAAATCAACACACTATTCAAAAATATATAGTTTTCCATTTATAGATCATGTCAATTATTATAGACCTTCTATTTCTTCTGAATTTACAGATACCATCATGCTAGTGTGTACTGTAGGCCTGCTGATAGCTTAGGCATGAATCAAATACGGAGGTACCCAAACTTAGCTACCTCAGCCCAATAGGGATAACCTCATTGGTTATCGGTCTTGTAAACAGGCTGTCCAGCTATGAGGGGGAAGTCTTGCGCATTAGTGATAAAGATTTATCTGCTCCAGCGAGCGTTGGGCAGGGCACGCTGAGGCCCACCGACAGTCCCTGTTTATCACGTGATCGGACGAATCAGCCTTCAACAGCTGAGCTCAATAAAAAAACTTTCTTTCTTTTAACAACCTGCTGTTGTGATAATGACACAAGCACTTTTTTATTTTGCACAGACAACAGTTTATATGTTTTTTTTTGCATATCATTAATTACTATATGGTTTTATTATATAAAATCTAAGGCTTTATACTTTTACATTGACTCAATTTTTTGCATCTTCAAATTAAATAAGTGACACACTGAGACTAAAATGAAGACTTTTTTATTGATTTTGGGATCAAATTCAAAATATGGATTTTGAACTTCCAAACATATGTTGAGGATGTAATGCTCCAGATATTTCACTCAGCAAAAACAGTTTAGCTTAGGATGTTCAAATATAGATTTTTTTAAACTACTTTTTTTCATATCAACTTAAGAATTTGAGAATTTGTTTCATGTTAAGTTGTCTTAAAGTTTGAAAGTCAAACAAAAAAGTTATTTTTTTAATTTGAATCATATCATAAATGTTATTTCCTAAATATTAAATAAAGATGAATAGAAATAATTACACTAAAGCAATTATATCATGGTCTTTCATGAGAATGATGTTTATTTGAAATACAAGCCCTTACATTTTTTTAATTACTACCTGATGTAAAATCACTACATGGACATTTGTTTAAAAATAAATAAAGGATTATCAAATATGCCAGAAGCAAATCTTTATTGTATCTCTATGCAGCCAAGAATATATAACAGATTCACTGTGAATTTGATTTTGTGCTGTACATGTCCCATAGCTGCTTCAACATTTTAGATGTTTCCTTAAATATTACACATAGAAAAAAATTGAACAAAAAAAACAACACATCTATAATAAAGGAATTGATAAAGCTCTTTAAAAAACCTCACTCCTCTTTCAGTTTATTGTTAATACAATCTAAAAAATACTAGTAAACTGACTTTTGACATGTAATATTCCAGTCTTTTAGGACAATGCTATATTTGAGTTTTTGGTTACACATAAAGCCAGAGGTATTAAAATAATTGCTATTGCTTTGTGATAAGATCACCTATTTTTCTCTGCTATAGTGTAGCTTAGGTCTAATGTTTGATACAGACATTACCGTTGAACAAAACAGGGTTTGCTTATCTCATGTCAATTCCCAGCTGTTTTGGTGCACTGTCCTGGTGCTTTAAATTTTGATTATGTTTTCTATTTTTTTTTTTTTTTTTCATTTCTTTTATCATTACTCCATCCTTTGACAAATGTATTACTCCTAAATCTTAAAGAAAGGGATTGCCCCAGTTACACAGAAAAGCTCTGTTAACAATCTTCCTTTGTATCACCCGTAAATAAGTATTTAAAAAGAACCACAAAGAAAACAGGCTCCTGCTTCTCTTGTGTTTCTACCTTTGTAGAGGATATTATGGTGCACACTGTGCACCATCAGAAACTAAATTCAAATCTGTTTAATTGAAGTGCATCACCATACATGTTCTTGGCTGTTGTGTTTTCAAGACAGCAAATGTTTTATGTAAATTTTGAGGAACTATTTCCAATCAAATACATTTCAGCTGATAAAGGTGATGAAAACTGTCAGTTTGTAATCTCCGTCCATCAGACTGGTGCATCTCTAATATAAATTGTAAAGATATAATCTCACAATGTCTTCAGGAATTCTTGGATCTTAATAACTTATGTATGTGTAGTTGCAATGAAAAATAACTATTAAAAATAAGAAAATAGAAACTTACAGTTAGGATTCTGGCTCCAAGCAGTCGGTGAACTGTGTGCTGCCATTGGATTGTGAAAGACCAATGGAGATCTCCTCACTTCTGCTGCCCAGGCTGCCACTGCCTTCAGTCCTACCATCTGGAGACTTTTGGAAAGACTCCCCAGTGCCTGGCTCAGTTTGCCATAGAAAGCAGGAGCAGCGAGTTCGCAGTTCCTTATAAAAAGAGTTCAGCCATGCCGTGGAGAGCCACGGACAGCCAATAAGGTTCTTGAAAGCAGTTCGAAATTCTGGACTCCTGCAGTAGATGATGGGATTGAGGCCAGAGTTAATGTAACCTAGCCAATTTAAATACAGGAATTGGTCCCCATCAAGGATGTCTTTTTTAAAAGCTTTGATTATGTTGGCAACAAAAAATGGCAGCCAACATATGGTGAAGGTCCCCATGATGATGCCTAAAGTCTTAATAGCTTTGAGCTCACCGATCATCAGTCGTGATGGTCTCCTCTTGGTACTCTTTCTCCTCGTCACATTGTTGCAGCTGTTGGAGGCCATGCACGCTGGCTGCAGGAGATCGTTCAAGTTGGCACCAGTTTGAATCTGTGCAAGACAGTCGCTCTGAAAACGAGGCCGGTTTTTCTTTATGAGCTTTACCTGCCGTGCAGCAATAACAAAGACTTTTGCATACACAGCTATCATAATCACCAGGGGGATATAAAAAGAGACTAATGAGGAAGAAATTGCATATTGTTCGTTAACCACAAAGTCACAGCATTTCTCACTTTTATAACATTCCATCGCCTCTGTTTCATTATTTTTCCACCAATTTGTCATCATAATTGGAACAAACGAAATTAAAGTAGACACAACCCACACTAAACAAACTATTACTCGGGCACGAAATTTGCAGAGTAGAACTGTGTACCGCAGTGGCCTTGTGATGGCTACATACCGATCAACTGCTATGACACAAAGCGTTTCAATGCTCGCTGTAACACACAATATGTCAATTGAAGTCCAGAGGTTACAGAAAGTGTTACCAAGCTGCCAATTACCTGTTAGAACATAACTGGCCCCAAACGGGACCACCAGGGTCCCCATGATAAGGTCCGCACATGCTAACGACATGATTAAGATGTTTGTTGAAGTCTGTAGCTGTGGAGTGCGAGCCACGGCAATGATGACCAGCAGGTTTCCCAACACTGTGACCAGGATGATGTTGACTGCCATGACGAAGAACCAGTCTCCCGGTGGATCTCGGTAGTATGTTCCATTACCAGGATCCATCACTGGCATAAAACTCAGTCACCACTAGTTGAATGGTGTTAAAAATCTTAGAAAATATAGACCTGGCTAAACCAGCACACAGACATAAATCCTCTCAAACCTGAGAGTAGGAGAAGTTTTCCACTTTAAATGATTTCTCTTCTTTGAAGAGAATGCTCATATGTCGCACCTCAGGAGTCCTCCTCTTGCAGCCCTCAAATGAGCATTCTGGGTCTTCATCTTTCCAAGACAAGCAACATGTTCTCCCAAGCGGTGAAACCAAACTGTCCAAAGAACTAAAAAAGTTGCAGAAAGTTCATGAGTCCTGGAAAAATGCATGAGTATAAAGAAATAAATGTTCTGGAGTACGAAAAGCTTAGATTTGTCCATTTAAGTCTGTCCACTGAGAATAGTTTGTCTCAGAATCTTGTTGTAGCCACAATGCCACTGTGTGGAGATCAAGCAAATACTGAAGCCTTTACAGGAACCACCAGAGTGCACCAGAGTGGCTACCCACTCTTTCTTTTGGTCTCTCTTTTTCTCTCCCTCTCCCTCTCGGTGCAGGTTCCATAAGATAATCACACCCTAGCTGAAGACAAGAAGGAGGAGCCAAACTGCTTGCTCTTTTGTGTGTGTAAGCAGCACATGGATCAGCGCCCTGATAGGGTTGCACATACAGTATGTGAACAATCACAACTTGGATTCATTTACAGTTAAGACTAAATATCTACATAACTGTATAAATATACTTATAATTTCTTCATGATTGATATTAAATCTGAATAAACTTTCCCTTTTTTAGATTACTAAATTACTAAATGTACCTCTTTTTGCTCAATGGCAATATATTTTGGAAAGGGTTTTGTACTATTTTCTTCAAAATCCGCTGTATATAATATTGATTCAATGGGAAATCCAGCTGGGGCTGTAATGCATTGTAAGCTTTGGAGAGTTCATTGTACATCATTTGAGTTAAATGGAGGCAAACATGTGACTGTTACTTAAACCCTTCAGAAACACAGTCTCATTGTGTGAAATTTACTATGGACCTTTGTGGGTTAGATTTATCGTTTGTAGTAATAAAGCTTGTTTGTTAATGCATCATCATACCATTCAGTAAGGGAACAGGTTCGGTGTCCCAGTGATGAACATCTTTGGAATGAAATAGCAGTTAATTATAGAGAGAAGCATGTACTGTAGAAATAAAAAAAAGATCAAACTAATTCACAATTTGAAAAAAAAAAAAAATTCACGAAATATGGGAATGCATTTTATAATGAAGAGCAACCAGAAAATGATCTAGATTTTTTTTTTGGGGTCTTTTTTGGACATCTGACAAATAACTGCATCCAAAATGGCATGAACATAAAAAAAACATGGCTGAAAAAAAGTCACTGTGAAACTAAAGATCTGTATTTGATTGCGATGGTTTGTAAAAATAAAAGTAGAAAAAAGGGCAAACCCAAGTCCCACAGTTCTTTTTATATAGCGCCCTAAAAGGTCCGAAAACATATAGAAGAGCTAATAACTTAAGGTCAGGTTAAATCAATTTTAAGATTTTCTACAAACGATTAAATAATAATATAACAGTTTTTTTTTTTATATATTTTTACATGCAGCATTTTTCAGCTAATAATAGTATAAGGACAAAAAATATTTTGTGATGAATGTTTTAGTAATAACACAATACAGGGGCGTGTTGCCTCACTTGCTCAACATTGTGTTAAACAGAAATAGAAATATTCAGAATATTTTTGCTAAAATATCAAAATAGATGGTAAAACATATGCTGTAATATCTTTTTCCCATATGGGAATAAAACAAAAGTGAAAATGTAAGAAGTTAACGATGTCATGTGGTTTTATGGAGCTTAGGAAGCCAAACAGACTTAATTCTCTTGTACTACCACATCTTTATCCGTTGTTTATAAGTGATGACAGTTTTCTTTCCGAATACTTAAAAAACAGCTTAAAACTTTTTGGAAAGTGTGTAACTTTTTTCTAATAGGTAGGTTTTCAATAATATAACCAAAAGTGCATTTAGGTCACTTTTATTCTACTCCTGGCATCATAATGATGGGTAAGCAATTTCTGACTTGCAGCTGTTCTATATTGTGTGCTGTATGTGGATCAACTAGGTATAAACACATTATTTTATAATCACGACTTATCTGGATCGTCAATCATGATATGTGTCTCTTTAATTACGGTAATAATTTTTTACCCTGTGTAAAACAAGGAATGTTTCTTATGTGATATATTCTAATATTAACCATCCTTTTTTCTACTTTTTCTGGGGAAGAGGAGTGGAGCCTATCTATGCTGTCATCAGGCTAAAGGAGGGCACGCCCTGGTCAGTCTATCTGTGTGTCGCAGAGACGCAGTCCTTCTCCCGCACATTAACTCCTGCAGTAAAAATCATCTTCTTAGGCTGCTTGGAATTAAGATTTACACTGAAATTCACACACATCAAAAACAGACCCCCACAGCCAGAGAGTTACACCAATACGCTGCACACTTCACTATTTTCAAATCTGTGAGAAAACATTACTCCCATATTAATCTGAAAAGTGAATTGCGTAATTGTTATTCTAATTATTTTTCTATAACCCCAAATTGATGTTGCAGCTGCAGTTTGTGGTCAGTACTTCAGACCACAAGGTATTTGTTTCCCAACCGCAAAGAAAGAGAAATAAATGCCCTCAGTTTGACTCACAGCTGTAAAGAAAATAATGGATTGTTATCTCGCTGTTGCACAATCCAAAGCGCTGAGGAAGAACAATCAGGCAAATGCCTTATATGCGATTCTCTTAAGATAACTAACGCTGTGCTCTTCGGCCGAGCTGTTGTGTCACTAAGTAGTTCCTTCTTTGGTCTGCACACCTCTCTCCTGCTGTAACTCTTCCATTCCTACTCCCATGCTGACTTTTATATCTGCAGCACTTATGATTTTTTTTCAACAGCTTTAGCATTAGGTCCAGATGCAACAGTTCTAAAATATGACAATTTTTTGGGAGGGTTTCTTCTCAAAGATGAAACTCAAGGAAATGATGGAGGTAAAAGTAAATTAAAGTTACTTGGAAATTATTTTAAAAAGATCAATCCTTGAGGTTTTTTGATACCTTACCATTAAAAGTGATCAGATGTCCTGATTTGTGTGGGACAATGCCACAGTTTTCACTTCTGTGTAGCGAAATATTCTCCTGCATTTAAATAGGTCAAATTAGAAAACAGTCAAAAAAATACAAAGACGCATTTCATAAATTCAGAAATCTGTCATGGTCTTGGCGCTGATGGTTGGCAGTTTCATTTACTCCTGTTAGCCTGTCTAATTGGCCCAGCGGCTCATTAACGCTTATCGTTTCCACCTGGTTTCCTCTGCTATTTATGCTGTTTGTCTTCCTATCGGTGCCAGATTATTCGAGCTGTTTTGTGAGAGTAACTCTAGTGTTCAAGTAAGTTTTGCCTAGCCCTTTTCTGCTCTGTCAGTTTCCTTTTCGGACTGATTTCCTGAAATCTGCTGGTTTATCGAACTTTGACTATGTTACTGAACTCTTCTTGGATTTTCCTTCAGCACCTCATCGGCTCTCTGATCTTCTGGTCAACCTGGTTTGGATTCGACTTCTGCTCTGGATATTCCCTAACGGCCTCCTCGGCTTCGGCTGGCGCCAGCTCATCATCCCCTTGAGCTCTGGAAGCCGTATTTTGTATTTAATAAAGCTTGTTTGTTAAATCGTGTAGATCTGTCTGCTTTGAATATTGGGTCCGAGGTTCTGAGGTCATCACAAAATCAGAGATGCAGTCGTTGCTGCGGAGCCGTGACGGTGCCCTATGACCAACCTTTGCATTATGCTCTTGTAAAAAAAACATATAAAAGATTTTAACATAAAATATGATGGAAACTATGTGTGTAGCATTGACATCACAATGGTGTGCTTTTGCACTGATTCTCAGTTTTTGTTTAAGGTAATTAGTAATGGATGTGGTCACTGTTTTGGTAGATTTCTTTTTTAAGCTTCGGTGATAAATTTGTTTTGTGTTTATTCGGAGGACGTTAAGCTAACTAAAGAACTAAAAATTAAGATAAAAAACTTTTAGAGTCAGATGTTTGAAGCTTTACGTGCATGAAGCTGTTGTTTTCTTATTTCAGCAGCATAATGTACCGAAAAACAATCAATTTAATATGTTCTCTTTCCAGTGAAACTGTCATGCTGAGAATGATAATAAACCTTATTTGAACTCTGATTGGGAAGATAATGATAAAACTTCTTGCTCTGCTAGTTTGTAAAGTGAAGAATAAGTTCTATGATGTTTGTTTGGGTTGTTTTCAAAGACCGTACAGTCTGGGTAGTATAAGCTCTGTCAACTTCATGCTTTCAACTTAGAGATGATCTGCGTCTTACCTCTTTCACATTTTTCTTAAATTGAAGATATAGCAAAAAAAGAACACACAGCAGATCAAACCCTGTTATTAGTTATATAATTAGTTATATAAATAAATCTTTTTTTAGAACTAAATAAATCCAGAGTGCATAGCTGTACAACATGCAAAACTCTACTTTAAAATTCTCAATTTTGTATACTATATTTTTATGTATGTAAATGTCTTCAAGTGAATGTTAGAATGCTTAAGGGTGACAATAATATCAATGTTGTCTAATTGAAAAACTCTTAAATGCAACTTTAGGCATCAGGGCCTCATGTGATCAGTTAACAAGGACCAATGAAAAACTGACAGATTATGGATTGTCTGTCTATGATTCCCTATTAAGTCCTTCAGAAAGATGTGTGCACTAGGCTAAGCTTGGCTGTGTGCTGCACTCTGCAAAATAACTCCAGTATCAGTGCTAATGTAACAGATGTATTGGTATCATTTTGGAAGGGCCAGGGGAACCCTACATTAAAGCTACAGTGTGTAATAATTACAGGGATATACAGTCAGAAATGTAATATATTATAC